AAAAATAAATAAAAAATAAAAAAATATGAAGAATTAATGTCATATGATCACCATTTGCAACCTTCCTGGTTTCCAACAAGCAAAAGCAATAGGGGAAGCTGGATTTGCTTAATGACTATGTGATGTACTTCATAACTTCAGTGATTCACTTTACAGCTGTGTCAAAAAGGTCATAAAATTGGGCATGACTCACTTAACAACTGCCCCAGTTGTGATTAATTGAGTGCTACCCATAGAGCTTTTTATTCAGGGATGGGATTCAACTGGTGTAACAACCAGTTCAGTGAGCCTGTGCATGCTCCAAATGCATGCTTTGCACACACACGCAGCTTTTGAAAACCACCCATTTTCAGCTCTACAACTTATCTTCTGTTGCAGCCCTGGTGAGTGAAACAGCTGAGATGCAGTAATCCACTGTGCCACGCGAATCAGGTGGGTTGCAAAACACGGAAATAGAGGACAGACTAGAGCACGGGCAGATGGGCATGGCCAACTAATTGCCATACTTTACAGAGCTCATATAATACACGGTAGATATATTTGTGAAAAAAAGAATATTAAGAGTTACTCTCTGACTCTCCTCAAACATGTACTAAATCATTCCTCCTTTTATATCACACATGAGATTTGCTGAACTGAGACATTTCATTTGTTTTCCAGGTGTGTGAGTCACAACATCACAGAAGTGAATGAGTAGTACTACAACTTCAGAGAAGAAGATGGATTCTTAAGATGTTGTGACTGGAGGTGCAGATCTGTCAGGGATTTATCCAACCGCATCTTACCACAGGCTAGAAGAGCTTTTCTGCAAACATATACAAAACCAGCCTCATTGGTCTCTTCAAACATGGCTTTTCAAGCATTCAGAACCAAGAAAATCACAAGAGATTGTCGCTGAATAAAAACACATAGATGAATAGCCTTGTATTTGTCTCTCTACCTTATTTTACATTTTCAAATGCCTAAGGAAAATTGCATGCAAGGTCTGCCTTTAAGAATGAGAAGGGTTGCAATACATATGCAGGCCTTTACATGTTATGGTGTTCATGTTCACCTTCTGGAGAAAAGGAAGACAAAAGAAATGTGTTTTAGGGATCAAGATGCAAAATTTCTTTGGGCAAAAGATCTAGAAAAGTGGAGTTCTGGGGAAGGAGAAATCTTCAAATTCTTAGCTTTTTAAACAAATCTATGAAAAACATCCCAGAAGCAAGGTCTTGCGGCCAGGGAAAAGTGCCAAAGGATAGGCAAGAGACTCAAGGTCAGTCTGTACCCCTTTTCATATCCCAGCCTTCCTTAAGGAAGTAACCATAGTACTCAGAGCATAACTTGTGACAAGGGACAAATTGGTGTGTGCTCACATTGAGAGCTTCTGTTAGCTCTTCACAGCATAAAGAATGATTGGAGATTGAGTGAGTTGTAGGGCATCAGCAGGAGTGGGATTCAAATTTTTTAACAATTGGCTCTGTGGGCGTGGCTTAGGTGGTGGGTGTGGCTTGATGGTCATGTGACTGAGTGGACATGGCTTGGTGGTCATGTTATTGGCTGGGCATGGCCAACTCAATATCACTCACATTGAGGCACGCATCTCCTCACCTGGCCTCTCATGACTGTGGGGATGCTGCAACAGTCGTAAGTGTGAACAATGGTCATAAGTCACTTTTTTCAGTGCCATTGTAACTTTGAATGGTCACTCCACACAAGCAAAGTACCAGCAAAGGAGGGAAAAATAACTCCAGAGAAGTTCCTGAGACAGGAAATCTACTCCTGCCAAGAATGTAATAAGGGTTAACGGAGAGGCAGTTTCTGTAAGCAACACCAGAATGTTTCCTTCCTGCCTTCCTTACAGGATTAGGCCAGTAATTTCTTCTAACAACCAGTTCTCTGAACTGCTTAGAATGTTAACAACCGGTTCTAGTGAATAAGTGCGAACTGGTAGAATCTCACCCCTGGGCATCAGGCTTTCCCAATATATGGCAACACAAATATTTTTAAATAGATTTGAAGAGGGTCTACCCCAGGGGTGTCAAACTCAATGCCCCTGGGCCGGATCTGGCCTGCGAGGTGCTTAGATCTGGCCCATAGGACCACCCTGGAAACAGTGAAGGACCGGCCCATAATGCCTCTTCCAGTAAATACCGAGCTGGGGGGGATATGTGCAGTCTCCCTGAGCTCCGTTTTCCCTGGCAGAGAGCTGCAGGAAGCCATCGTAGCCAAAAATGGAGCCTGGGGGAGCTGCACGTGCCCCACCCCAGCTCCATTTTTGCTGGCAGAGAGCTGCAGGAGTGATGTTGAGCTAGCCACACCCAGTCCAGGCACACCCACTTGGACCCTAACACAACCCTAATGCGGTTGAATAGGGTTGAAACGTGAACAGAAGATAGAAGAAAAAGGGAAGAAAACAGAAGGAGTTGGAGAAAGTCAGGAGAGAAATTGGAGAGCTTTGTGAATTACATACCCTGAAATATGAAGATAAGAATATAAAAAGAGCCTAGCTGGATAAACCAAAGACACATCAAGATTTACATTCTTTATCACAATAGCTAACCAGATTTATTAATGAAGCTGACAAATGTCAGTCGGAAGGTGATAATCCTATTATTTTTGCTTCTTGACAGCTGATATTTAAGATAAGCTACCACATCACAGAGGAAAGAAATGCTCATCAAGGCTAGATGCTAGTGACAGTATGATCCACCGTTTGGTGTTTATCCAAAGCCTGTTTTATTTAGTTTAGTACTACTTCAAATTTTATACTATCACCTTTAAATGGCTACTAAAATATCAGATAGGGGTTTCCAGTATTCACACCTAAAAAAACAATTATACAGCCTCTCAGAATGAGATAAATGGCATCATCTCTGTCACAAATTAGCAGTGAAATATATAAAGCTACATCTACATGCATACATGTCCTCCACACAGACAGGTAGGACAAAACTTTACCTTGGGAGCCAAAATTATAACAAGCCAGATTAAGAAGGCAAGAATTTTTAGAAGCATGGCACTTCAACTAAGTTGTGTACATCAGATTATAGACTTAAACTTTATCTATGTGGATCTATCAAAAGATAAAACCAGGCAACCACCTACTCCCACTCAAGCATATCTGACACAATAAAGATATATGTAACCATAGCCAACTAACAAAGCTCACTTCCCCAGCAGTGATTATGTTAGCTAATATGGCAATAAAAGTTTGCAGTCTAAATGCTTATTTCAGAGAATTGTAACATAACAGTTTTGTCTTCTTAAAACCTATCTCAAAGTTTAATTACATGAGATGTAAATGTTGTACCTAGTGAGTCCTGGTGGCACTGTGGTTAAAGTGCAGTGTTGAAGACAAACACTGCCCACAGCCAGGAGTTTGATTGAGGTTCACTCAGTCTTCCATCCTTTCAAGGTCAGTAAAATAAGGACCCAGATTGTTGGGGGCAATATGCAAACAGTGCTTCTATATTGTAAACCACCCAGAGAGTGCTATTGCTACTACTAATCAGCCAAAACTATCGTGGTCATCCAAGTTTGTCTCCAAACCTGGGTAACTGATTTATACATTTTAGATTCTACCAGAATTTCCAGAGAACAGCTACTTGAAATTTGTGTCCAACTTTAGTTATTTGCAAAAGACCAATGATTTCTTAGTAATGAAACTCTAGATTTATCTTGCCTATCCAGGCTTGCCATTGGATACTCTTAAATTAGAAAGACTTCCTATTTGCCTGAGCAAATATAATCAACTCACTCTTGGACATTTTTCAATCTTTTGTAGCTTTGAAAACATTCATACATTGCTTTTTGAGCTTTAAACTTCTTGCCTAATCATTTGAAGGATCTTGTCAATTCTATCCAAACCCAAGTTTCTGAGTCTTGCCATTCTGTTCAATTTATTCGTTCCACTTTCACCTTCCTTCCCTATATAGAACAATACAACGAAGTGGTAAGAGAATGGATATACTGTACAGTATATTAGTGAGATTGTGAGCTCTTTTCAACTGTTCTTATTATCACCGGAGTTATGATCAGGGTTCTGGTGAGCATTTGGCCTCGCCCACCTGCCCCTGGTCCTTCCTGTGCTTTATTTCCTGTTTTTTTTTTTAACACAGCTGATTCGTGCAGCAGAGTGGTTTGCCACGCCTCAGCTGTTTTAGTCACAGGGGCTGCAGTAGAAGGTAAGCAATTCAGATGAAAATGGGTATTTTTAAATGTAGAGCATGCATGTAGAAGTGTGCATTTGGCATGCACATGCGAGCACAAAGTGCATGTTCACTGAACCAGTTGTTACACCAGTTGAATCGCACCACTGGTTATGATTGATTCACTGGAGCTCACTACATTTAACTTCACATATTCCAGGGTTTAGGTGTGGTAGAAATATTAGAATGTATAAACCTTTCTGTCTCAAGTTTCAGCCCAAAAAAGGATTGGAAATTTTAACTAAACAAATCATACCAATGCTCTTAAAGTATCTCAGAACCTAAATCGAATAAAAGTGTTTTAACAGCTTAAACTAAGAAATTGCAAAACTAAACACCTAAGGGAGAGAGTTCTCATTATTCTAACATCCATAGTTCCTACAGTTTTGGAATGTTGCAACATTTTGGGTGGGTATCTCCATAGCAATATGGGTCCCTTCAACCTGAAAAGGTTTAAGCCTACCATATATGTTGTTCTTTGTTGTTGTGCCTTTGAGTCCTTGTTGACTCCTGGTGACTGCCTGGATTTGTGATTTTCAGGTGGTTTGCCCTTGCCTCCTTCTTCCTAGGGCTCAGAAAGGTATTGGTCCTAGTTCGCTAATGCCTAAGGTGGGACTAGAACTCACAGTTTGTAGTTTGATGTTTTAGCCACTACACCAAACTGATTCTGCCATACATAGGCTACAAAAGTATGGATATCTGTTAGATCAGGGTGTCAAACTCAAGGTCTGCGAGCTGGATCTGGCCTGAGGGATGCTTAGATCTGATCCACAGGGCCAGCCTGGAAATAGCAAAGTACCAGCCCACAGTGCCTCTGCTAGCAAAAGTAGGGCATGGGGCCCATATGGTAGGCTGTTGCAGGTTGCATCCACCCTATCTGCCATTCATCTCCCCTTCATAGCCAGCCCACAGATGACAACTACAATGCTGATCCAGCCCTTGAGAAATCCAGTTTGACATCCCCTGTTACAGTAGATGGTACCAACCAGAATTTTCCTATATTTTTGCTGCCATCTACTGGTTAGCTGAATATTTGAAAACCAAATATGGTAGCACTATTTAAGCACTGATTAAGCCTAAGTGATTTTTTTTTTTTTTAGTAAATGGGACTTGAACAGGAAGATTAAAAGTACACTTTCTGTTTACTTTTGCAATTTATCAAAGCCAATACAACTGAGACTTCCAGCAATAACACATAATACAAAGGGTCTTTTATATGCAAAAAATGTTTTTGGTCTAATTGAAGACTTGAAAGAAATAAAAGCTCTCTGTCATTCAAAAAGCAGTGTTTGTAGGCCTTAATAGTTCATTTCCTTTTGTTCTTTAAAGCTTCATCATTGTTTATCTGTCTTGGAGTTAATATTATGAGTAGTTTGGTAAATTCCCATAACACTTTTCTTCTGTCTTCATTTCCCAGTGTAAACATTAATGGAAAGGAAATATTTCAAAGTAAATCCAATGAACACAACTAGCAAAACAAAAAACAAAAAAACCCACATTGTTTGTTTTAGTAAAATAAACTTCATTAAAAATATACTTCTGATTTTGATATCATACAACAATTCTGTTCCAATTTCATATCTTTTCCCAGTATAAAGAACATCTGATGATGGCATTTTGAGGGCAAAAAGGACAAATAAAAACCAAAGTTTGTTTCAATCAACTATATAGGCCATGAGCAGTCCAGTGGCAAGTTGCCAATTTATGCAAAAGAAAACGATTTATTTGAGTTAGTGAGCACAATCTTTGAAAACATTCATACAAGGCTTTTGAGCTTTAATCTTCTTTCTGTTGTTATGTGAGTTATGCTCAGGGGTGGGATCTGACCCGTGTAACTACCGATTCAGTGATTTACATTTTGCTGCCTGCGTGTGTGAAACGTCATTAGCTTGCTGCCTGTACAGCTGAGCAGTGCTGCGCGCAGGTGCGCAGCATTTGAAAAAGCACTTTTTCCTGCTTTTTCAACTGCAGCTGTGCCGTGCAAAGCAGCTGAGGTTGAAAAAGCAGGAAATAAAGGTCAGGTAGGAGCTTGGGCAGGCAGGTGGGCCAAAACAGCAGCAGACATAGAACCAGTTCTATGTATGGTGCTCATCAGAGCTACCGATTCTACAGAGCCAGACAGAACCAGAAGAATTCCAACCCTGGTTTTGCCCCATTTTATGACTTTTCTTGAGGCAGCTGTTAATTGAACGAATGCAGTTAATAACTTAGTAGCCTGGTTGTTGTGTGAATCTGGCTTCCCCATTGACTTGCTTGATAGAAGTTTGCAAAAGTTCATCACATGATCCTGGAGACTTGACAAAATGTCATTATTATGAAGCAGTTGCCTAGCATCTGAATTTTGATCACATGATCATGGGGATGCTACAAAGATCGTAACTATGAAAAATAGTCATAAGTCAGGTTTTTCAGTGCAGTTCTAACTTTAAACTGTCACTAACCAAACTGTTGTAAGTTGACGACTACCTGTACATTGTATGACCTAGGCCATATGCATCCTTCATACAATTTGCAAAGGCAATGATGGTGTCTGTTGGTGAATGTTCCTGCTGCCTTGAATAGGGAAGTAAGCATAGGAGAAGTGAGCCTCAGAATAAGAAAGCGGAAGCAAAGGAAGGCATTGGCAAAAGTTGGTTGTGCTTATTTTATCCTACCACTAGTGGCCTACTAGAAAAACATTCCAAGAAAACGTGGTCTTCATTATACCCAACCCTTTCTTAGGCAGTGTAATGGAATATTGTAAGAGTAGTCATAACATTGTTTTCTGACATTTGTAATAAACCATAAAACAAATCTGGGGAAACAAACACAGAGGCTAAATTGTGGTTATGGGCAGCAATGGGAAGTGGATCTCCAAAATAAAACTGTCTAAAGACAGATATGTAAAAGATATATTTAATCAGTTTTGATCTTTTAAAAGGTCAAACATAAAATGCAACTGTACATATTTCTAAGAATACACACACACATATCTTAATATTAATATCTTACTTATGTTAATATCTTAGTTGATATCTTAGTTATCTTAATATCTTAGTTATGATGTTCACTATATAGCAGTAGCACTAAGATTTATATTGCATTTTATATTGATTTATATTATATAGCACTAGATTTATATCATAGTGCTTTATAGCATTCTCTGAACCCTTTACAAATGTTAGCATGTTGCTCCCAACAATTTGGGTCCTCATTTTACCAACAGCAGAAGGATGGAAGGCTGAGTCAACCTTAAGCTGGTCAGGATCGAACTCATGGCTGTAGGCTACATTTTTTTAAAAAATTTTTTTACAACAAAAACAACAAATAAAAACCATCTTTCAGGTATACAATGTTTTGTCCGGGTATATATAACTTGTGCACCTATTAATATTTGTATACATTTCTTATTGAGTTTACATTCACATTATATTCTAGTCAACATTATATAACAATACTACATTCTAACCATTGCGCCACCATGGCTCTTTTACAGAGAAATAGCTTCATTGTTTGACTGAGAGTTTTAAAAGGTATTCTAAAATTCAAACTTGGGAACTAGCATGTAAAACACTCTGCACAGAATTGCATTATTTTAATACCATAGACTCACTGTATCATTCATTTAGAGTTTGCTTGCATAAGTATTTAAGTATGTGTGTTTTCCATTTTTTCTGTTGTTTGCATATAGAAAATCAAATGATTCAATGCATGCAGACTGAGGGCAAAATTAAAAGTTACAGTGTGTTATCCTCATCTCGCATTTATATATTTTTAACCAGGATTCCTGTTTAGCACAAAGAAATTTTAGAAATAATGCTTACTATTAATATTAATTAATCTTATATAAGTAATTACCAAAATATCACATTGTCAGTGGAAGTTTTTTTAAAAATTCAGGACATTATAAACAATATTTCCTAGCTTAAATTCTGAATGAATTTAAAACAACACTTCTAATCCAACACTAAATCAAATTACTTTAAAAAAAACAGCAAGAAATCATATACAACAGAGGCCTGAGAAATTATACAAAATCCAGAAATGATGAAAATCAGCTCAAACAGCTTGCTAATTGTTTTATTATCCATTTATGAAAGGTGTTAAAAAGAGGGTGAAATGTGATTTCCTTGGAAGACAGTTTCTATTTATTTCTAGTTGATTCAGACTTGAACATTTCACTGAGTTTCTTCTTTTGAAAGTTGTCTCATTTGTCATATCAAAATAAAAGTCTGAAATCTCAAACATCAAAGGACTCAGCAACAACACCATATTTAAGAGTGAAATCCAATATCACACAAACTCATTTAAGCATTGAGATTTTCTCACCATCTACAGTCTCCCACTTCATGAGAATGTGAAATGTACTGTCATCAACATTATCTCCAGAGGTCCAGGGCACAGATATTAAAAATTCCATTCATGGATTAACTTAATTAGATGTCCAGGAACTCTGCCACACCATCATGTATTTCATCTGCAAATCAAGCCAGGTAGAGACCTAATCTAGGAATCCCACCATTCCCCAATGTCTCTATATTCAAAAGGGGTTCGCCATGTTGTGAAGCTTGCAGACTTACAATCACAAAGTCCTGTCTTTTTCATCTTTTTCCTTCAGTTGTCCCATCTTTTCCAGGTCTTCACCGGAGATGTGCACATCAGAGGTGGTATTCATTGGATTCTGACCAATTCTAAAGAGACAGTAGCAGAAAATTTGAGTGGTTCGAGGAACTGGCAAATACCACCTCTGATTGGCCCTGCCCTCATCTTTTCTCTGCCTCCCAGGTCCCAGCTGATCAGCTGGGTCTTCTTTTGTTGCCCTGCACAGGAGAACAGAGCTGGAAAGCAGGTTAGTGAGGTGGGGAGGGAATGGGGATTTTGCAGTAACCTTGCCCTGGGAGTGGGAATGGAGATTTTACAGTAATGCTCCCCTGCCATGCCCACCAAGCCATGCCCACCAAACCACACTACACCATGCCCACCAAGCTATGCCCACAGAACGGTAGCAAAAAAAATTGAGTCCCACCACTAGTGCATATGTGTGAGAAATAGGACCTCATGATAGTAAGGCCACACACATTCCTTGCACAACCATTCACAAAGCATGTGAAGTTCCCTGCAGCCTCTGAATATTGGTCAGAGAACTGGTGCAGAAAGCTCTTTTCTCTCTCTCCCTCCCTCCCTCCGCCTCTCTCTCTTCCTCTTTTAGATTACCCTTCAACCACTACTTCCGCTCTGTCACAAATCTAACTCCTAAAAGGTAACCAAGTATTTTGCCAAATATCAGGGCAGTGATCAGAAGTCCAGGCAATTTGTTGTTTTGGATCCAGAGACAATAAGCACAACCATAAATAAAGAGCATCATTATTAACTTAAGCAAACTGAGTTAAAAGCATAACCTAGAAAGCATGCATTTGCATACCAAGCAAGATGATACCAAATCTCTTACAAGCAATCAAGTGCTCCTTAATCATGAAAGCTGAGATACCCCAAGAATAGGCAATTTCCACATATCCAGTGCTTGTTCTAATCTACTCAGATGCTTCTGGCTTAAAGGTCAGTGCTAAGGTTTTTATTAAAGACTGGCACCTCTTTTATAGTCATGAGCTTGCAAGACCTCAATGGTGGCTCATGCCTCAAAAGTCTAAAATCAAATAATGACATAAATAGACCTCCCCTTTTCTTTAAGTCTAAGAAAAGTGGAAATAAGTTATGAACCCATCTTTTGTGTATATCTAAGGCAGAAGAAAGATTCAGTCCCAGTTCAGGGATCCAGAAGATTTGCCTCTGTCATCCTCAGTGAAATAGATCCATGAATGATGTGCTATGTCAAAAAGG